TAGGGTTGCTGGGTTTAGGGTTTAGGGTTTAGGGTGTAGGAGTTCAGGGTTTAGGGTTCAGGGTTTGGGGTTTTTAGGGTTTTAGGATTGCAGGGTTTAAGGTTTGGGGTGTAGGAGTTCAGGGTTGGTGTTCAGGGTTGCAGGGGTTTCGGATGGCGTGGACTTAGAAGGAAAACTGAGCTTCACAGCGATTCCTAAGGAGGCCGAAGAGCAGCTGCCATGGTCTTTATGTCGACCTTATGCAAACGGGCTTTTTCTAGGGATGTAGAACAAGGAGTCATGTGCTTCCCTTGTCATGGTAGCTTAGGCTGCTTCAAGTTGAACCCTAAACTCCTGAACCCTAAAAGCCTAAAAGCCTTAACGCCCTAAAGCCTAAACCCTAGACCCTAGACCCTAAACCCTAAACCCTAAGCTGCTTCAGCTGTTTAAGTTCCAAGAACAGCCCAGGCACAGGCGCACGAAGGACTGTGAGTAGTACTCGAAGTCCTTCACGGCCCGGGCCTTGCGTCTTTTTGGGGCGCTTTCTGGTGGCTAGGGGTTTAGGGTTTAGGGTTTAGGGTTTAGGTGTGTTTGGGTGCTTTCTGCTGGTTAGTGTGGGCTGGGTTGTTGGTGTTGGTGCCACCCCAAACTAAGGGTGGCATGCTTAACTCAGAACTCAAAAAGCCTTTAGTTCAGCAACAGACCTTAAATTACAAATGCAACCTTGAAGGATTTCTGGTTCGTTCCTTAGTTAGGGGAGGGTGCCTCATTTCGGCTCCCTTGAAGTAGCCATTACGGTAGCCCTATTCAAGGGACCCAAATCTAAACACGAATGTAATGAACCAAACCTCAAACTCTAAACCCTAAGCCCCCCTGTTATTACCCAAGTTCGCCGCCTGATGGCGGCTGTAAACTCTAAACCAACCCCACGCCCTATACCCTAAAACCCGAAGCCCTAAACCCTAAAACCCCCACCCCTAAACCCTAAACCCCTCAAACTCTAAACCCCTAAACCCTTATAAACCCCCAAACCCTAAGGTTCTGAACCCCGAACCCCCCACCCATAGTTCACCTTCTTAGCTCCCCACCTGATGCTCCGGGAGCTTTGGCCGATCGTCGGCATAGCTTCCCCAGTGGATCATCCGCGGCTCTTTCCCAGCCTGTGGGTGCTTCGTAAGGTTTAGACATTCGTGGTTTTAGGGGTTTTAGGGCTTTGGGGGATTTATTAGTTAACTTGGGGTTTTGGGTTTTGGGCTTAGGGTTGAGGGCCTGCATGCTTTGTAGGGTTCGGGCTTTCCTAAATCCACATTTGATGCAGGGTCTCGATGCTTGGATGAAGGTAGTATTGGGCTCTCTGGGGCCTTCAGGCCGTTTAGATTGACTGAGTCGCGCGGGGGTGGTTTCACAGCGCTGTTGGGCGGGTCAGCTTCTCATAATCGGATTACCCTAAACCCTAAAGCCCCCAAACCCTAAAAGCCCCCAAGCCCTAAAGTTTCCCAAACCCTAGACCTCTAAAGCCTAAACCCCCTAAGCCTCAGAAGGTGTGAACTTCTCTTCTTTTCCCTTTTGGGCCTCCAGCATCTTGCTGGCCACCAGCTCCACGACCTCCATGGGCAGCTCGTTGAACTCCGCATCCGACAGCGCCTCGTAGTAGGAAACATCTTTCATCTCTTCCGGCTCTTCCTCCAGGGTGTAGGGTTTAGGGGTTTAGGACCTAGGGGTTTAGGGGTTTAGGGTGTAGGGTTTAGGGTCTTCCTCCAGGGTAAACTTTCCCAGGAGGTTCTGGCTTAAGGGGTTTAGGTGGTTTAGGGCTTTAGGAGCCAAGGAGGCTCAAGAATTCACCTTTTTTGATGAGGAAAGGCATAAAAGAACTCTTATGACTGACCATGACGATGGGGAGCCCAAACATCTCCCCACCCCTGAGCCCCGAGTCACCTGGATCTCACCTGGTAGAGCTATCTCAGACTAAGATGTGGGACCCCCAAAATCCTATTCTAACTATTGAAGGCCCTTATATTAACTGCCATAGTGGTAGTCATACTGTTGATGATATAAATCCTGCATTACCTTAAGGACTCTAAACTATGGGCATTAGGGTATCTTCCCTAGTATGGGTAATGCAGGATGTATATCATCAACCATAGTCCGAGCCAGGCCCTCCTTGACTTTCTTGGGCATCATGGACACCAGGGGGATGTAGGCGCCCAGCGCAAACAGGGAGATCACCTTTCATTCAACTTTAAACCCTTTACACCCTAAACCCGAACCCCTAAACTCCTAAACCTCTCAGTTCTTAAATCCTGAAACCCTAAAAACCCTACACCAAAAAGAAAGCTTAGTCACGGAGGTGCAAACCAACATCTCCTGGCCCCTCACGTTGCCCACCTGGGACACATGGGGTTTTATGTGGCTTTGTATGGGTTTGGCGTGTAGAGTTCTTTCTCCCCTCGCGGGTCTTGGTTCTTGCGATACGAGCCAAAACGGCAAGCAGAAGCACAACCAAGACTGCTTCCGCCAGAAGCATTCATGCCAACCGGCAATTGAGTGCGAAGCAAACTAGCAAAATACCGAGAACCAGAAGAACACAAAATAGTGGCCTCGTCGTACACTGTGGCAAAGACCAGAGGCGCGATGGCCATGGAGATGTTGGAGCAAGCCTCACAGCAGATGAGACACTGAAACTACAAAACCCAATCAGACAATACAGTGGTTTCACTGTTTAGGGTTTAGGGTTTGGGGTTTAGGAACCCTAAACCCTAAACCCTAAACCCCTACCCTCTACACCCTATCTCACCTTATGGTCCCCAAGAGGAGCATGCATTCATTTAACTCAGAGGGGAGAGGAGCTTCGGGTTGGGGTTTCGGTTTGGGCTTCGAACTCCAAGAGGGACTCCACCAACCAGATACTGTAGAGGCCTCAAGAACTGGACTAGGGTTCAGGGTTTAGGGGTTTGGGGTTGAGGGTTTAGGGGTTTAGGGTTTTGGGGTTAAGGGTTTAGGGGTCTAGGGTTTAGGGGTTAAGGGTTCAGGGTTCAGGGTTCAGGGTTTAGGGGGTTTAGGGTTTAGGGTGTAGACGTGTAGGGACAACATTTACAACATCATCCTGTAGCCGGAGTTCCAAAGAGCCGCACTGGAGATGCTGTTTTCTTCAGGGCAACATGCAAAGCTTCAGCGCCAGAAAGCCACAGAGTTGCAAGTAGCTGCGCTTGGATGGGTAAGTCTGAAAAAGACTGCTGACGCGTGCTCCCAAAAGCAGGCGCGTTCGCTTGGTATACACCGGTAAATTAAGCCCCCAAACCCTAAATCCCTCACAGGGTTGAACCCTTCCGACCTTCAGGTGCTTTGCGGTGTAGGCCACAACACTCCATATACCCAACCCGAGGCCTCAGGGCCCCTCAACACCTGCGAGAAGACCCCTGAACCCATGGAGGCCTCGTTGATGCCGTTCCAGCGACCCAGCTGTGCCTGGCAGTGGAGTCTACGGTGCTTTGCCAATATCGAAAAGCGTCATAGATCAGCTTTGTGTTGAGTTTAGGGAACTTGTACGCTGCAGATATCTGGGATCGTTCCGCGTAACTTAATGCCTCATATTGTTGATGATATAGATCCTGCATTACCTTAAGGACCCTAAACTATGGGAATTATGGTATTTTCCTTATTATGGGTAATGCAGGATTTATGTCATCAACCGTAGAACCCTTACAGAATCTTTATTGGCACCCATCGCTGCGAAGAAGAGAGAGAGCCTTGGGCGCGATCTCCGTGATGATCAGCCCAGATGCGAGGGTGGACAGGAAGCCGAAGAGCTTGCCGGTGTACCAGACTGCCAGGAACCTTTGGACCCTGAGTAGCCTAGGCTACCTTCATTGATGTTCCTGGTAGCCTATTTCTCCCTTATGATAGGGTATGAACCCCTGAACCCTAAACCCTAAACCCTATTCTACTGGTAAATCTTGATGGGGTTTGCAGCTAGCGCTTGGGTTAGGGTGAGGCCGAGGGCTTGGAGGATCTAGGGTTTGAGCTTGGCTTAAGGCTTCGCATTAGGATTCCTCCTGACTTTAGAAGCTCTGGTCTGCGTTGAAGAAGGGCTGAAAGTGGGAGTTTAGGATTTTTAGTTTAAGAACTTTAGAAGTTAGGGCCGTTGTTAAAGAAGGGCTGCAAATGGGATTTAAGGGTTTTTGGTTTAGGGGGCAGGGGGCTGCTGCAGCCCTCCGGCAAGTGGCTGGAATTCGGCTTGGAAGTTGAGGATGAAGGAGAAAGCTCAGAGGATGAAGGTCTCAACTTATGGGGGGCTCGACCAAAGCACTCCACATATAAGATGCGGGTGGGTGAAGACATCCCGAGCTAGAGCTCTAACGGGTTCAGGGTTTAGGGCTTAGGGCTTAGGGAAGGGATCTTCAATCCCACCTTCTCAGGCCTTTTGAATATAGAGTTCGGATCTTCAGGTTTGGATTCAATCTGAGGAAGCTCATTGCCAACCCTAAACCCTGAACCCGGTTCCGCCAATCGCGCTGCAAGGGCAAGGAAATCTGATGAAAAGCCCTCGCGACTAGCTCCAAAAACAGCTTTCTAACCATAAGGGCTCAAGTACCTAAGAGTTAACAATCTAATCGGGTGTACGGTTCAGGGTTTAGCGTGCCGAATAACAATATCAAGAAGTCGCTCATATCAGTCAATGTCACTTCCTTACTCTGGAGTTTAAGGTTTAGGGTTTAAGGGTTTGGGGTTTAACCCTAAACCCTAAACTCTAAACTTTAAACCTAAACCCTGAACCCTAAACCCTACACCCTGAAAAAAGGTTGTTGGCTCTCTTCGTGAGCTGGGACTTCTCCACGTCGGGAGGCGGCCAGACGTCCAGTTCGATGATCAGCACCAGCCTGGGTTTGCAGGGTAAGGATTCTAAGAAAAGTTACCATAAAAAGGGTATCAGGTTTAGGAATTCGGGCTTAGAGTTTAGGGGTTTAGGGTTTAGGGGATCGATGTATAGTGAAATAGCAGGTTCCTAATTATGGTATCTTAGGTCAAGTCCCTTAAGAACTTGAACCCAGCAGCTGCGTCGCCAGCGTGAAGGTGCAGCCGATCACAGAGACGGCTGCTAAGTTCATGCAGCGCTGGAGCACCTGACAAGAGAGAGTTTCGGAAGCACGCCTTTCTATCAAATTCAGGATCCCTCTACACTGCAAACTCAACCGCTCATTCAGAATAGCTTAAACCTCTTGTCATGTTTCCGACACGTCCTGCATGTCCGGCTCGGAAATTGTATATGCTAACCGCTAGACCCTGAACAGCCTCACGGTTTAGAATACTTCCGGGAAGCTTCAATCATGCTTCGTGCTGTACACAGAACCATAAAGGGCTATGGAAGATTTGACTTCAACGATTGGCCAGACCACGGAACAAACTTCTGCAAAGTGAATTGGGCGACCCCTACATCCGAAACTGCCCGAATCCTAACCCCAAAGCTCTAAACCACAAAAATAAGAAACGATGTAACTCTAAGTCCTGATCTCTAGGTTTCGAAAAGCTCGAAGCCACAAGCCAAAGAGCAAAAAACTGCGGTTTAGGATTTCAGGGCTTAGGGTCGAGGGGGTTTGAGGCTTCGGGTTGACATCTTATTGAGGATCCATCGATAGCTAAAGGGCACAGCATGAAGATGGCCTAAACTGCGCTTCCAACTTCTGGGGTCTCTCTCTGATATGTGGGTAGTTCTCTAAATTAGGGTCCCTTTTAGGGTCCTTGTTACAAGGGTGCCGTACTATATTGGGGCCTAAAAAGGGGCCCTAATTTTGAGAACTACCCATGTAGGATCTGAGCAAAAGAAACCGCAAAAATTCGAGTTTAGGGGTTTAGGCTCAGGGGTTTAGGGATCACTCTGCTCTCGAGCTACGTAGGAGCTTCTCAAAATGAGGGGCAGGGGACCCTTCTTTTTGCCAGCGTCCCATGTTAGGGATATTTAGGGATGCAAACCCAAGGTCCTGCTCTTGAGGATCTGTGTTAGATTCCCGCATGTTTCTGCAACGCTCACACGTTTTGAATTATCGGGTTTGGGGCCTAGGACTACATAAAAAGCAAGGCTTCTTGCAAAAGTGAAACCTATTTCAGGTTGACCTGGTGTCTCCGACTTCGGGGATGATGCAGTCCCTGGGGTGAGGTAATGCTTTGGGGCACATGGCGCAGCAAACAGCGGCCATCGTGGCGGTGGTGGTGGTAAGCTCCCCCTGCTCATGCTGGAGGCCTCGACCCTTTCACGCTTTCGAAGGCCAGGCCCAAACCCTAAATTACAGCTACAGACCGAAACCATAAGCCTCCAGCACACGGAAATGTGAACCGCGCAGGGAGAGGAACTTTTTGTGGCTTTTTTTGACAAGAAGACTCTGCCCCAGAGCTAGACTCTGAAAGGCATGGTGCTCATGACATGGCGCTCGGATCATGGCCTCATGGCGATCAAGAACGCAACTGCAGGGAGGGTCCTGGTGTGTCAGGGTTTACAGATTCGGCTTCGGGGCTTTATGGTTTACATTTTGGGCTCTAGGGCGAACTCACTGTTAGCACTAGTCCTACTAGTCGCACGCGTACTACTGAATAGCTAAGTCACTGGCAGATGTAGGCAAATTCCAGCAGTTCTCTCTAACCTGTATGCGGGTAGTTCTCCAAATTACGGTCCCTTCTCAGATCCCCAAAATAGTACCTTGCAAAAAGGGACCCTAATTCAAGACAATACCTATGGAGTGGGGTGCAGATTCGTAATGTAGGGGCCTTAATAAGTAGAATAGGGTGTTGAGCTTCAGTATACTGTATACTATAAGCATAACAAGGAAACCCCAAGATAGTCTAACTATAATAAGGAACTCCCAAGAAGATACTATCATCATAATAAGGACCCCCCAAAAGAGTATGGGTAAGTATTTCGGCCCCTGCATTACATGACCATTGAACCCCAAGGGCTTTGGAGCCACAAACACCTCCGAACCCCTAAACCCTAAACCCTACACCCTAAACCCTAAACCCCTAAACCCTAAACCCCTAAACCCTAAACCCTAAACCCTAAAAAGCCTAAAGCCTCAAGACCCGACGCCTCAAGATCTTCGAGGGTTTCGGGAAGTAGGGTTTGGGGGGTTTAAGGGTGTTTAAGGTTAGAGGCTTAGGGATCAAGGGGTTAAGGGCTTCGAGGGTTTAGGGGTTTGGGGGTTTAGGGTTTCGGGGTTTTGGGGCTTTGGGTTAGGCTTTAGGGCTTGGGGGGTTTAGGGCTGAGCCCCCCAGAGAGCCCAATGCCTCTAAAGGGTCCCTTTCATATGCTTCGAGCTATTCAAGGCACGAGGTGTCACAATCCGAGGCAGGTCCGCACCGTCCAATTCCTTCTGCTAACTCGCAGCCGTTGCTACACCGTGTTGACGCGAAGCTGATGCAGGAGGTTTCCGAGGCTTCAGGGCAATCCTACATAATTACTCTGATGCTGTTATACACACGATGTCTCAGCGGTGTTCATCTAACGTGGATCAGCTAGCGAGGTTCAGGACGTACTTCAGCACATGTGCCGCGAGGCGTCATCATGGTGGCAACAGCTGCAGAAGAATTCGCTTAAAATCTGGAGGCCATTGTCAGTGCAATGGAGAACTACGGGAAGTCACGTCGCGCAGCCCACATTTTCCTGAATTTGCACTGGCTGCTTGAGAGAGAGACATGATTGATTCGAACGCCATAGTTGACCACTTGGAGCATTTGAGCTGTCAACGCTGGTGCGGCTAGTCTTTTTGCTGGAACTGAAGTGTTGACTGCTAGGACTAGGAGAGGACGGCTATCATGACCACGACTCCAACTCAAACCCACCTGCGCCAGCAACAGCACCGCCACTATCTCAACAGACTGCTGCTGTTGTTGATATGCACCTCAACATTGCTATTGGCACGGTTCCCGCACAGACCGACGCATGATTCCTGTACTGCGTATGACTAGTAATGCTATGTCATAACTACTACGAATGGCGTGTTGGCGTAGGAAGCTGAGGGTGTGGTTTCCGGCACTGCAGAATTGACTCTTGCAGGGGCAACCCGGGGCTCTGCGACTCCTTGTAGCGACGATAGCTCTCCTTGGAAGATTAGCACAGTCTAAAGTCTAGCAACACCAACGTGACACCAACAGATCGAAGCAACATATGGGTAGTTCTCTAAACGATGGTGCCTTTGGGGGTCCTTTTTATAAGGGTGCCGTACTATACTGGGGGCCTAAAAAGGGACCCTAATTTAGAGAACTACCCCTATGCCAGACCACAGCTATTCCTCGGCAACGGGGTGCCTCGGTCCCGCTGCCGTTTCAGCTGACCTTGGAGCAGATGCACGTCGGCTTCGGGGCACATTGACATAAACCGTAAAAACAGTAGATCCCGAACGTCCCCAAGGAAACACATAAAAAAAAGCCTCGAGATGGGGTACTGTCAAGTCTCATAAACCACCATACTTGGGGAGATT